GGTGCATGCTACATTGTCACAGATCCAGCATTGATGAGTTATGCAGCCATGTCCACAGGTTTATCAAAGAAAACAGTGTGCTGAGCATTACACTGTGAAATCTAATCAGTTGTTCTTAATTTTAAAAAAGCATGCAAACCGATTGCCTTGAAAAAACTAAGTAAAGTGAAATAGGAATAGTATGTTGTACTGACAAATGCTTAGTTAGTATAGTTTACTTACACGAGAGTTCTAGTAACCAAAAAAGAACTGTGGGGGGGTACTTGATCCTTTCATTTAGGTTTACTCATGACTTAGTAAATTATGCAGTTGCTTTGTTTTACAGTTGTTGTTTTTATTTGCCAATTTTATTTGCTGTCTTGTGTCAGTAGTAGCACAACAAAAAGAGCAAATAAAATGGTTATTGTTACAATTAATGAAAATAAATTAAATTGAATTGTTACCATTGTTGTGATTCACTTGCTGAATGTTTAAGTCTGTGTGTGACTTTAGCATATTACCACACACTATTTAAGGATTATATAAACTCAATTAAAAGCATCCCAAGGTATTTACGAAAAATTAAATTTGAAAAAGTTCATTAATAAACACAATAAAAATACACTAACACATTAATTAGAAGATAAATCATATTCTAAAAGCAATCTGTTTAATACTTTTCTTCCCTTAAAATAAAATTACTCTGACTTCATGATGCATTCCTGCATTAACAGAAAGAAAATTATAGTAACATAAATGAAGTTCCAAGTGCCCAACCAAAGGGAACGCTAATCACTATAATGGTGAGTTAAAAAAAGAAAGAAACACATTTTAGGAAAATCAATATCAATTTATGAAGTTAGCTTATGTGATGTTCTCTCAAATATTTCAGTTGCATTGAAAATTCAACATTCAAGATGACTTTGGGAAACGAGTAAATGCAACTAGTGAAAGATAACTGCAGACATGGAGGAAATGGGTGAAAAGTCTATTAAGACTCGTTTTATTTTCTTCTTCTGATGTTGTTATGTTGCACATTAGCAACATATTAGTGCACTGCTGCCTCTCATTGGTTTATTAATGTCATTGGTTCCTTTGTGGCTACTTGAATATTTTAAGTTAAGTGTCACTCAAAACAGTAAGTAAATTGTTTTATTTGCCTTGAAAGTGAGACAGTAGCTATAACTTAATAAACTCTAGTAAGTATAACAACTAAGTAAAGATAACGAATTAAATCTAAGTAAAGTAAATTATTGGATTTTACAGTGTACAGAAAATGTTGGTTAAGTAGGTAGGAAAAGTAGGTTCTGTTTTTTTTTAGAGACAATATGTTTCTTACTTCGTGTTGGCACCATCAAACATGCCAGTGTTAATGAAAAATGGGCAGACTATGGTGGTCTTCACTCCATCACAGCCCATGGCCAGCAGCTCTAGTGCCATTGACTCAGCAAAGCCAACTGCAGCAAACTTACTTGCACAATAATCTGTATAAAACATTCAAAAGCAGATTGTCATTTGAAATGTGTACTTATTTCTAAATGAGAGATTTGTATTGTTAACTGAGAATATCTACCTGCCAGTCCATTTACTCCAATAAGTCCAGCGGAGCTTGAAATACTGACCAAATGACCATGGTTAGCAGCAATCATTGCTGGCAGAAATGCCTTGTACATCTAAGAGGATATATATGCTATCATGCATACTTTGTTTTAGCATAATTTAGAAGCAGATAGATAGATAGATAGATAGTATACTGACATACCCAGAAATGTGCCAGACTGTTGACCTCCATAGACTTCTCTATGAGTGAATCAGGAGATTCCATGAAATTCTTCCCAGTAACAATTCCTGCATTATTTATCAAAATTATGATATCACCAACCTCACGTTTTACCTTAACAAAACAAAGGGATTGAGTCATGAATTACACAAGATCTTATTAGACTGTCAAAATGTAAACTCACAAAAATTGGTTTACTGTTGTCTTAGTCACATCAGTTCATTGTATTTTTTCATCCATTTGATTGTACTTACTAAAAAAATCAAGCTGATACCATTGAAAATGATTCAGACATTGTTATAATGATAAAACATTTTGCAGTGTAATGAAAATAAACGTTGAGTGAGTGAATGTTTATGGTCATATGTATGGTCATTACAAATTTGGCACTTGTGTGGGTCCTGTAGTACAATGCCATTTTTTCCTGACCTCAAATGAAAAGGCTAATCACATTAAAATTGACAAATAAATTTCATAATACACCTAAAAATATTGTTGTGAAATAATAATAATAATACTGTGTCTAGACCTATGGCCAGTTTAACTATGCACACTGCAGTTACCTACACAAATATGTAGACGAAAATTCCATGTAGTGTACTTATACATGTCTTTGTACTGAGGTGCAACGCATTCTACCTGGTTTGCGATTCTGTACACTTCCTCCCGGTCGCTGCAGTCGCAGGTATATGTGTACGCTCGCACTCCGTGCGTTTCTTTAATCATACGAGCAGTCTCTTTATTACCGTTCTCATTAATATCCCACAGCACAAGGCGCGCGCCCAGGCGCGCGAACTCCAGGGCCATGAGGCGACCTATGCCGCTGCCCGCCCCGGTCAGCAACACGATCTCCCCGGAGACATTCTTCTTTCGAGGCGGTATAAATAACCTAACGAAAGTTTCTAAGCTGTACACCAGTGACATGAGAAGCACCTGAACAGTCTCCAAGAGAAAGTTCATGATGATGATGAATAGATCCTAGAGACGCAAGGGTTATTTGGTCAGCAAGTTTATTCAGTTTTTAACAATAGTAAATTTACGACGACATCAACACAAATTGGTAATTTAGGCGTCATATAATCGTAGTTGTCATATACTGTAAAGTTGTCATATAATCGTATTTACTCGTTGTCTGTTAATGCTCAACAAACATACTGGTGACTTACCTCACTCGTTTCGATTATCGCTCACTAATACAACAGCAGGTTTGCTCCATTCATTTAGCATTTAACCGAGTGGTTCGATTATCGACCTTCGCTCTGCCTGCCCAGTTATTACACTTCGTGTTTACTGAAAGACAAAGTCCAGTATTTGTGTAGCGAGAGTAGCCTAGGCTACTAACGGGACAGGATGTGATGGGCGCGGCATATGTTTAACCATTTGACGCCTGCGAGTTTCCTTAACAACGCGCACATAGGAGAGAATAAACTGGATGCTCAAAGCAACTATTGAATTAAAACTTCATCAGTTGCCTTGAGTAAATTCATAAAGTTTATGGTGGAGAAATTCATAGGTTGGTCTTAGCCTGGCATTTACAACCACCTGGGTAAACATTCACCTTAGAAAAGAATTATGGAATTTAGATGAGTTGTTTTCTGAACCCCATTTTGTGGCATGAAATCTTTATTAAGCTAGCATTGTCCGGATGGTAAACCTTGTTCTATAACAAGATTACACATGATTAATGTTTGTTCACACAAACATTGATAACCATAATCGTAACAATAGCCATAATGCTTAGGAGAGAGAGAGAGAGAGAGAGAGAGAGAGAGAATATCAGTCCATATCACAAGGATGGTAAACCTTGTTCTATAACAAGATTACACATGATTAATGTTTGTTCACACAAACATTGATAACCATAATCGTAACAATAGCCATAATGCTTAGGAGAGAGAGAGAGAGAGAGAGAGAGAGAGAGAGAGAATATCAGTCCATATCACACTAATATCAGAGTAACAAAATAATTGAGATCATTTACAGTGAATTTTGTCCAGCTGATGAATGAATGAATGATAAAAACATAAACAGCGCATGAATAAACTGAATGTTTTTGTCTGTTATAGTGTGGATGTTAATAGTTATTTAATTACAGTTATCATCCTTGGTTTGAACAAGCATTTACTTATCAGAATCAGAATCAGAAAGAGCTTTATTGCCAAGTATGTTTGCACATACAAGGAATTTGTTATAGTGACATTATTATTAGGATATTGCACTCCAAATAAACAGTGTATGAAAGATACTTGTGAATCTCATGAGACTTTTCACAGAACAAAGGTTATATGTAGTCTTAATATCATTGACTTTCGTAGCCCAAGTGACAATTAGTGTAAAAAAGTGGGATTTGGGAAGAAGATACACTTTTACTATGAATTCCCATTACTGATATGAGTGAGCTATGGAGAACCTACAGCTTTCTTGATAACCCTTTGATTTGATATCTCCAGTAAGAAACCTAAAATATATATTAGACTTTTATTTAATGCTCGGCAGAGCTCTTGTTTAGCAACTGTAGGTTTATGGTTATGCTAAGGATCAAAGGTAAGATACATCTGGCTTAAATGCTACATGTAAAGCACATTCAAATAGAGACAGTGATAACATTCTGTAGTTTATTGCTGTAGTTTATAATTTTTTTAGTGGTGCTTGAAATCTGTATAATAAAGATCTTGCATGGTGAATTTTTCATGCAGGACAATATTTCTGAAAACTTTCACAATTTCAAATCCCCCTGAAAGTGTACTACCTCTTGCCTTGATTGTATTGAGTACTACCTCTTGCCTTGATTGAGATTCATGATAGTCATGCCATTAGTAGAAGTACTTTTCATTGCTAACTCACATCATAAAACATGCAATTACACTGCCACTTTCAAATAAACACACTTGGTTTAGAGACATCATCGTAATCACAATTCAGCAGAGTAATGCAACTTGCTTTTACTTACTAACAAAAGGCTACTGAGGCACAAACCTCAGACAGAGAATGCATTTCTATTCAAGACGCACATTCTAGTGCAGTTTCGAGCAGTTTATTCAAGCTATACAGCACATGACAAGATTCAGACTGGTCCCCCCAAAAAGTATGTGTAAAAGACAAGTGTCATGAAGAAATAATCACCATGTAATGGCGAAGTAAATGTCTTATTTTTTCTAAAAATTTCCTCTCGTAAGACTGAATGAATGTCTCATGCAAAATTGTTGTTTATTAAAAAAGAAAAAGAAAAACGGTTGCATTAGTCAAAAGTAGGTAATCCTGGTTATTAAAATCTGCTACACAACTTGTAAATATAATTTTGAATTCAGATTCAATGTGTAATGTTAAGACAATATATCCACGGTCTTTGAGGTCTTTTAAGTCTTATTCACATTAAATCATATTACCACAATAAAGACATAACAAACACTTTATTAATACATTATGAGCGCATTTAAAGCATGTTTCCTTTGTCGGTTCTCAAGTGGTGTCTAAGGGGCTAGAGAGGAAGTGGACTAGGGCACAGCAGAAAATACCATCTTAATATCCCATGAATCCACCATACCTCTTTTCTATTTCTGATGAATTTTCATCTTCATCTTCCTTTTGGGAGCATTTTAAGAAGTCTCCATAGCGTTTAGACTCCTGCCACCACTGCGGTCGACCTACACGCCTCATGAAGCCCCCATATCGTTTTTGTAGTGCCTTAACCCCACTCTCCAAGTCATAAAACGGTCCCCTCTTCATAAAGCCCCCATAACATTTTGCCATACCCTTTACACCCTGTGCTCCTCCCTTTGAATTATGGACGTCTGTCAGAGCCTCCTCCTCCCTCCTACCATCAGCCTCAACTTGATTGGTCAGCATTTCAACATCATGATTAGTCAGGATTACTCTGCCCTGGTCAACGTCCTCTGGCTCCAGCCCATATAGCTCTGCAGTCTTCTTCATGAATCCTCCATAACGCTTCATAAAACTCCCATACCGCTTTAATGAAGCCACCATATTTTTTGTCTACTGGGTGCTGTTGGGTATCCAAGTGTTTAGTTGCAGTGGACGCTCGGTTACCCTCAGGAGTGTTATCAGCATTCTGAATAAAACTTTTGCACAAACTCCAAGAGCTGCCTGCATTCAGATGCTCCTGACACTCCACCACACATTCCTGTGAAAAATGTGAAAATATAGTCGAGACATAGATAACATTCTCAGAAATTAATTGATGTAGAGTGTGTGCTAAGCTTGTGAAAAACCATGGAAACTCAAATGCAGAGTGTCATACTGAATTTGAACAAAATACACCAATACCCTACTCTCTCCAACACACAAACATACATTTTTAAATGTTACAACATTTGGTGAACTCAGAAACATGAAGAGAGCATGATCCAGTTGTATATTTAATGTTGTAAAAATAACAAAAGCACACAAAACACTGGAACCAGGAAACTTATAAAACGAAACTGAGCCAAAACGTAACATTCATGTAAGAACAAGAACTGACACATTAACAAGGTAAACACAAGGGCTTATATGCAGCATATAAGTAATATAGCCCCCCACCTAAGGAATGGCTCCTGTCACACCAAAGGACAACAAAACAAGAATCAAATTTTCATCTGATGGATGATAGGATGACTGGCCAGGATTATGAGGTAAAATTGGGCCTGGGTTCTGGGACAATGGAGAAAAGGGAGATCACAGGGGTGCCAGGGGAGCAGAATACCTCCACTGCAGAGCAGGGGACCACCGGGGCACCAGCATGGGCGTCGCTAGGTGGTTTTTAGGGGGCTATAGCTATATGACTACTCAGCCCCCCTAAAATTTTGCGATTAGCTCCATAAACTGTACACAAATTCGTGATTGCCTCAGTCAATTTCATATGAAAAAGGCGGCAGACTTCGATCGGCTCCTCCTCGTTTTTCAGCGAGTTCTTTTTCAATCCACAGACCGCGACAACGCAGAGCGAGAAACAGAGGACAAGGTCTGTGTTTATTGATAGACTGTTATAATATCTGCATCTGCGCAGTTCTTTGTCATAAATACTGTTTAAAAAATATCATGGGGAGCAATTGGTTCCACATCTACTGTAAAGTTTTCCCTGCGTTCACCCCTCATCCCACCACAGCTGTTTCATCCAGTGAAAATGAAGCACATATGAACGCATACTTTATAAAACAATCATGTTGCCATTTTCATTTGACAATTTAACTTTAAATGTAATACATATTCCAGTGCATGTGGCAAAGAGGTTTGCATACTTGAGCTAAGGAAAAAGGGTTGTACTAGAAAATTTTTCTGTGAAAATTTTGTGTGTACAGTAAACAGGTGTGTGTGTGTGTGTGTGTGAGAGAGAGATCATTAAGATTTGTATTTTGCTTATTCAGTTATATGTTATACCCATCTATGCAATACAGTGGAATACACATAGGTCTAGACACAGTATTATTATTATTATTATTAAAATGAAAATCCTAGAATCGCCCCTGGGCACCAGTGGACCAGAACACCACAGCAAAGCCAGACCACCACGGCTGAGAAGGAGATCACTGCAGCAGAGAAGGAGACCACAGGGGCGCTGACAGATCAGAGCACCACAGCAGAGAACGAGAACTCCACAGCGG